TGTCCTTCATTTTCTTGTTCAATGTCGTTTTGATGAAATTACCATTATAACCACGCATACGGTGGCTAATTTAGGCCATTTTACATCTTTTAGTTTAGTGTAAGATATCACTAGGCGAGGTAGCGATAATATTTAACCTTCATTTCCAAACGTAGCTCTCCTGATGAAGATTTTGTATCTGAAACAGTAACAAGCATTGACGACCTCAAGTCAAGTAGCTAACATTAAGTCCTATATTAGAAAGGTAACCCTTCATTTCCAAAAGTAGCTTTTCCGATGATGTGTCTGAAACACGTATCAGCTGCTTGAGATGGGCGATATGCACTTATCGATCGTTATATTTAGAATGAAAATTATCATGATTATTGACATCCAACTGTGAATAGTGACTAGCAGAGTGACTCGTCTGTTGTAGTGTCAGATCCTGATGTCACCTCGACCAGCCTCCACCGTCTTGGACTGATATACGGTGTGTCTGCCACCGCCCTGAATCCTAATAATTAATGAACTATTATTGTAAATATAATAACATATTTGGTTTATGTTAGGCTTTTATAAATATTCATAGTGGCGTAGCGATGATTTCATTTTCGAGTGTGTGTATGTCATTGCTGGGGGTGGGGTGCATCAAAGCAGCGCGGCGTCCGTTTGGGGATTTCGTGGTCGTTAAGGGGGAGATGGAAAGGGGGGTGTGGGTGTGCATGTGTTGTGCTTCCCCTGGAAAATTTTTGTTGGAAGTATAACACATATCTCATTTTTATGGCCCAATATTACCTCCTTAAATCAAAAATGAACACATTTATGATAAAATCTTGGTTTCTGGCAACCAAGCGTCTACAAACCCCTGATTTAACCGATACGCTATAATGATTTTTGGCCTCGATATAATAATTCATCTTTTAGTGCACAAAAAATGCGGTTTTCACATAACACTTGAATAATTCTATTATTTAGTTAAACACGTTCGACATTTTCAATAGCCGTCAATAATACATATTCAGTTTTCTTTTTCTTTTTTCTGACCCGCATTTTGGCTTTTGGGGATGTATTAAAGGTATGTCTCCGCTTACAATTTGAAAAATCAGATATACTCGGCGTCCATATTTGCAGTTTTCTTTGTCGTCGCGAAAGGTCAGGGCTCCCCCTGGAAATTTTTTTGTGAAATTAGAATTTTTTTCATTTCTTTATGCTCAGTATTTTCAGAATATCAAGGACAGTCACCAATCTGTGTCAAATCATACGGACAAATTTTGACGCGTTGTTCCTAAGTCAAGGGCAATAACTCAAAAACCGTTCATCGTAAGATAGCCAAATTCGAACTTGTCCTAGATCTCATCATTATAAATATTAACTTATATGTCTATGAAATATAGATTAGAATCCCTATGTTATCCAATAAATACATAAAACTAAATAATAGTTCATTAAACTTAGTAATTTGAAACATGCTTAGCGTTTATCAATAATTATTTAGTTTAATATCATCCTATATAGAGATTCTATTCTTAGGTCATGACACCTGGTTAGTCCAACTGATGAATATTTACACTAGTTGACCAAGTTTGAGACTTTAAATTTATGTCCATCCTAAGAGGTATTATCATTTTAAATAATAGCCCATCTTTAATATATTAATTAAATATGATCAATATACCTCGCTGATTGACAAGATGAGTTCAGATAAAACGATCAGACGTTTGATAATGAAATGTTTATATATATATATAGAGAATATTGTATAAAATGATGTTTTCAGTATGAATTATGGACCTCACAATGTGTATTTTATAAGGTTATATTTTTTTATATTTCGTTGGGTTTGATGAAAAATATAGGAAATAACCTTGCATTTTATACGTCATCTTTACCATGTCAAGCTATGAAGAACTTCTTTTTCTTTTCATCAAATATAATACTTTTAATCAGTTGTCTGTTCAATGTTATCAATTTGAAGTGGGAGTCTGGAAGCTAAGCTAATAGCTTGACATTGTAAAGATGGCATACACAAATGTAAGGTTATTTACTACATTCAGCATCCAACTAACTTCGTCTTATACCTTGACAACAATATCCACATTTCTTGTATCATGGAAGTTTGTAAATAAAGCGATTTAATTGGATTGTACACATTGAATTGGAAATACAGCCAATCAGAAACCTTAACGTTACAGTCTGTCTATCGAAGACTCTGATTGGCTGTACAATCCAATCAAATCGCTGCATTCCGTGATACAAGGCAGGTGACTATCCGTGAACTTACCTGGTGTCATAAAGTTACAACAGAATCCCTGTAAAATCTAGAAAATTGGAAAATTCACAAAACAAAGTAATTATTGAAAAACGTTTAATCTTAATATTAAGCATTTTTCAATACTTAATTGCATATTTATGGATAATCACTATCTATTTTAGATTTTTCGGATTATATAAGGATCCTGTTATGTTGTTTATAACACCAGGTATATCTCCTGATGAATATATGCCGTTATTGGCCAAGTTTAAAATTCTTAAATATTATGTTCATTCTAAGATGTAGTATCACTTTAAGGTACATATAAGTATGAGACGAAGTTCGTAATGGCTTGACATTGTGAATATGTTTGTATGTAAAAGCTACTTGCAGATTTTGATACCTCCTTGTACTGCTATAGATGTATATTACCGTCATATGAATTATCAGCTTATTTTAAGGGACAGTCCTGGATAAGATTGCAGGGAAAAAAACCTAAGAGAAAATTATAAAATTGTAAGGATTTATTGGAGGAAGTGGGATAATGCAATCGATCAATATCTTAAAAGAGGATAATAGAAAGAAAAAGGTCGAAAACCTCTGCTTTATTCGTTGGCGTACAATCCAATCAAATCGCTGCATTCCGTCATACAAGAAAGGTGACTAAACTGATGGCCTGGCGAAGTTCATATATAGCTATAGTCCGAAACATCTGCTCTATTACAGCCAACACTCTGTGCAAATAGCTATCAGAGACAAGAATGGAGATAGATGTTTCGGTCTAATATATGGCTTGACATTGTAAAAATGACTGAGAAT